TGGTTTTGGCTGAAGATATTGAGCTTTTCCACCGCCTCTTGCCACAGATGTAGTCAATCTGATTCCTGTGTGTTCCATCTGGTGAAGTCCACGTACCCAATATCATTAAAATGATTGAGATAGAATCCCTGAGATAGAGTCAGATCTTCAGGGACAGCAGCACACATCTAGATATGTGTGCCCTTTACATTGGAGTCCCTGGGTGGCACAAATGGTTAAGCACTGGACTACTAGCTGAAAGGTTGGTGGTTCAAACCTACCTAGAGATATGTTGGAAAACAGGTGTAGTGATCTGCTTTCAAAAGGTCACAGCCTTGAAAACCCTATGGAGCAGTTCTTTTTTGCACACATGGGGTCACTATGAGTCAGAATTGACTCAATGGCAACCAACAATAACAATCCTTTATACTAACCTAAACCAATCAATATATGGTATTGCCTTACCATACATTGGTTTAGGATTAGCATCTGACCCCTTACTGCCAGTAAAGTTCCAGGAAATGGTTGCTGATACTTCTGAGGCAGGATCAGTTGAAATTGAGTAAACATAAGACCTGGACTTGCTGCTGTCTTGCCTCCAAGGAAGGAGCTCGTTTGAGCCCAAGAGAGGGGAGAAGAGTCAAGATATAGAAAGAAACTATCCCATTTACATTGTTTGATCCCTTAATTAAGCCAATGAGCATTCCACTGAGATCTCTCAGGCAGACATCGACTTCCCAGTTTAGGAGAGGCCAGTTGGAGTTCTTTTTGTCATAACTGAAAATGTCCTAAATGATACAATGGTACAGGATATATGAGGCAGAAGAGAATGGGCTTTAGCAAACAATGGCCTGCCAAGCTGTTACCGAAAACAACTCCCTGGTTGTGAACCTGAATCACAGAGCCCTGTGGCATGAGGCGTTTTTGACAAGAAGCTAGCTTTTACCAATTTTATTCTTCACAGTAGCATCTGTTCTGCTGCAGCAGCATTAGATAATGTCTTAAAAATACTGTCATAGAAGCATGAAGCATCTCCTTGGGAAAATATGCTTTGACACTGTGGTTCCCAAACGCTGATTACAGATTAGATTCCTCTCAGAAGCATGTAAACCTCCTTATTCTCCATACCAATTGAACCACAAGGTCTGAGAGTCTGTACCAGATAGAAGTATATATCCATGGGTGATTCCAGTGTACAGCAAAGTTTGAGAACCAGTACTTTGGCAGCACTTCTTTGTTTCTGTATATTTTTACTTACCTTCAAGTTCAGAACTCTTTGGTATACTTTTTCTGTTTGGTTTATTAAAAGTCTTACACTTTTCTCTTATGGTTTCTCATGTTAAAATGAAGTCATTTTATAAAAAGAAAACAAAAGATCATATTATTGGATATTTGGTTTTCTTTTCCATTTGATCATGTCTGTGAGAACTTAGAAAGTGCTCTCACCTCTGAGATCCACAGATTTGCCAGTCCTTGCCTAAGTTTACATATCCCTGACAAAGGGAAAGACAAAATACTTTGGATTTAATTCCTTTGAGAAAGGCTTTGGACCCCCTGGTATTAATCTCATTTTCAAAGAATTTCTCTAAAAGGAATGATTAAAAATTTAAAGCTTTAAGATCTATAAAATAGTAACCTCAGAAAGAGGTAGAGTTTTGAAGGAATCTTGATGTGGATATGCAGAAGAGAGATTCATGTTTATTATATTTCAAGAGAGAATATTGTCAAATGAATCATTGATCTTAAAGAGATCTAAGGGTGTAGTATTGGTCTTGAGACGTAGTACGTTCAGGAGGATGCCTAGTTCCTTTTTGTACAATTTTCAGTTTACCTTGAGCTCCAAAACCACACCAAACATGCTCATAGTGATCCTATTAGGACAGAGTAGAACTACCCCATTGGGTATCCAAGACTGTAAATCTTTATGGAAGTAGACTGCCACATCTTTTTCCTGAGGAGCACTGGGAGACCTTTTGGTTAGCAGCCCAGCACTTTTAACCACTTTGTCATGAGAGCTCTTTGTCTGAGCTGCATATATAGTTAACTAGGTCTTAAATATTGAAACCCTGACCTTTCATGCCATTTTCCTTATTGTTTTCAATAATTTTATCATCATTCCTGTGAAATATGTTAGTTAAAAATGTTCCCAGCATGTGTCTTTCTTCAAATTAAATCTGTATTTTCTCAGCCAGGATGCTTACAAAGGATCAAGGATGAGCCAAAAAGACAACATATTATAATGCAGTCCATATTTACCTAAAGAAGGAATTTTTACCTATTTTATTTTACTAAAGGAGCTCTGGTGGCATTGTGGATAAAGCATTGGACTGCTAACCAAAAGGTTGGTGGTTCAAACCACCAGTTGCTTCATGGGAGAAAGATGAAGCAGTCTGCTTCAGTAAAGATTTACAGCCTTAGAAACCCTGTGGGAACAGTTCTGTTCTGTCTTAGAGGTTGGTATGAGTTGGAATTGGCTCAGTGGCAGTGGGTTTGGTTTGGTTATAGATACAGTGAAACTTGTAAAGTTGGAACTCATCTTTGGGTCTACAAGTTTTCTGCCTTTGACAGTGTGGAAAGCTTTTTCTTTCATTTTAGTGGAAAATAAGAGTTTCCTTCTTGCACCTTAAACAGATTCCAGCTTTTGCGGGTTTTGCTTTAATAAAGTTAGAAACTTGTCAGGTATAAAATACATATTGCACATAACTTTGCTAATAAACCTTTTATATCAATACACTATTATATTAGCAACATTTATTAAAATACTAATAAGATCAGCATTTAATGTGATCATATTTTAATTACAGTAAAATTTGTAATTCTCCACTTTGTTTTTATTTTTTAAAAGGGTTTCTCCAAAGACACTTCTGACATTTTGCACTAATGGCGTATTGCTTCGCACATTAATGGCAGGAGATAGTACATTATCAACTGTGACACATGTTATTGTGGTAAGAATGTATTTGCATTTTCCATATATAACTCAGAATCCTTGTTTATAGGAGTGATGAAAATTTAAGTAATTTCATTTTTAGAATAGGACATATATGAAAATTTATTCTTTTGAACAGGATGCTATAATCAACTATTTTTTAATTGTATATAATTATTAGAAATAAGTATTTTACATTAGTTAAACATATTCTTACTGTTAGGTTTATAGGGGAAATAAAATAAGTAGGTTGTTGTTGTTGTTGTTATGTGCTGTCGAGTCAGCCTTGACTCATAGCGACCCCTCCTTGGGTGTCTGAGGCAGTATCACTACAGAAGTAGGATTGCCCAACCTTCCTTCCGAGGAGTGGCTGGTGGGTTTGAACTGCCAGCCTTCTGGTTAGCAGTCAA